CTTGACTGCTAACCAGAAGGTTGGTGTTTCAAATCCACCAGCCATTCCTCAGAAGGAAAGTTGGGCAATCTACTTCCGTAGTGATACTGCCTCGGAATCCCAAGTAGGGGTTGCTATGAGTCGGGGCTGACTCGACGGCACATAACAACAACAAAGCATTAATAATAATAATTATTATAATTAACAGTAATATTTTCCATCATAATAAACTTCCCTAAAGTATAAAAATAAATAACGAAGTCAGAGAATGGAATTACATCGTGTCTACTTAAACCTTTACCTAGCTCAAAGTTTTGCCTGCCATTTGCAAAGGTTATACTTAAAGGAGAAAACCAATGATGACTTTTAGCTCTGTGCAACTGAATGTGAGTTTGAAAGTGTGCTTTTTCCTTATAGTAGGGCATATGTGTGCAGTGAGGACATAGATGTGGCCACATGAAAAGTTTGTGCCTGAAATGAGAGGTGTAACTTTGGACAAATGAGGGGAAGGGAGGGCTCTGAGGACACAGTCTGGCTGATGACAACCTTGTCCACGATAATTGGCCCCATGGCTTGCTGTATTCCTGTATGGACTGTGCTAAATATCTCACTGCGAAAATCCTTTTAAGGTTTTGTGGGGAGGAGTGTAGCCCTTGCCCTCTGGAGGCTTAAATGCACTCCTAAGAATTCCTGAATTTTTATGAAATCCCTATAAATATCTGATAGAAGAAGATTTTTAATTTTCATTTTCTGGCACAGAATGTGTTGAGGATAGTAGAATTGGCTTTAGAGAAATTTCTACCATAGAACGGTGAGGACATTTTTTTTTTTTCCCAAGCAAATTTTAAAAGTAGACATAAGAATCTTAAACATTTTTCTCCTACCAACTTTACAGGCCCTTTTGCAAAGTCTAATTCAATCTCTCTTGGAAGGGTTCTCTGTCTGTGGGGCATATTCTCTCCCACAGCCCCTGCGACAGAAAGCCAGAGTGGACCTCTCTCAAATAGGGTTCATGTATTGTAATGCACTGAACCTGATCACTTTTCAAAGGAAATTAGAATTGAAAAAGAGAGAAGTATGAACTCTTTAATGAATATCATCTCTCTGCTTACACAGAAAAGGTAAGTTTTCAAATATCCCTGACATATTTCCTTTCCCTTGCCTCTCATTTCACAGCTGCTTCTGTGTTATTTTCCAGCACTGCCCCATTTGTTAGGGCAGTAGCCATCATCTACTTCTGTGTTCTAGGAAACCTGAAGTTCAGAAACATATTTCCCACAGTGACGGGAAGATTCTGAAGTTTCAAAGTCCCTCAGCTATCACTGGCCTCTGCTGGGTGCATCCCTGCTTCTGAGGCCAATTCTGATTAAAAAAAAAAAATGCAGGTGAGACAATTTATTGCCTGGCCCCAAGACAACCAGAGTATCCTACTTTCAGACTTCCTATTTGCAAGATCTAAGTACAAGAAAAGTATGGAGATGTATCAGTGAATATGAATGTTGAGTGTTCAAGATCCACTGTCACTAATCTTTAGTTGGAGAAAAGAATAACATGAAGTAGAGAACAGGGAGAAGAAAACTCCTTAATAACATCCTGGGGTAAACTCATTAATCTCTAAAATGGTTCTTAGCTCACCCTTGCTTCCTCTACAGATTTCTCCCATCTCTTCCCACCTCAATCCTTCCTCCTTTCTCTTTCTCTTACCCACAAAGTCTTATTTTGTTCCTTTTCGATCTGACTCTTTTATTATCTATAATCTCTTTACCCCTTCCTCAGTGTTATTTTTCAAACCATTTCTGGGCTCTTTGTTGGCTCCACCTGGATGGATGCAGTCTGATGTTTGTCATGGCGACATGAGGCACTGGAAATCAGAGTCAGAAATCAGAATCAACATGGTGGCAATAGGTTTTTTGTTTGGTACTGTGTGGAAAATTTTATATTAAAGTTGAAAGGAAAATTTTTATCTTGAGCCCCCCTCAACTGAAATAATGATATTCAGGCTCATATATGAACTAAATTAACCAAGGACAAGTGACATCTTTGTTACACAGACAAAATTACAATCCACCTCTCTGGGATCCCTACACATTTTTGGCATCCAACAGAGATGACATGAGAGTGAGCACTTCTTATCCTTCTTTAAGAAAGGAAGTGTCAAGTCTGAAGCCATTTATGACTCATATTTAGAATGAATGCAGGGTCACGTTTTATGTCATTGAGTTGACAGTGTATCCAGATCCCTGGGCGGTACACAGGGTGTGCATTTGTTTACTAACATAAAGGCTGGTGGTTTTGCAAACTCAATGTCACTGTGGAAGAAAGAGTTGGTGAACTGCATCCATGAAGACTACAGTCAAGAAATTCTTGTGGAACAGTTCTAACCTGTACACATGTGACCCCAATGAGTCGGAACTGACTCGACAGCAAAAGGGTTTGTTGGTAGTTTACAGTGAACACATTTGAATCCTTTCTACCTAGTTTCATTGTGTAGGAAACAGAAAGATTGATATCTTCAATAAAACTCTGGCATCTTGAAGATAGGCACTACATTACGGAAAAGCTCCAAGTTCAATTAAACTAAATTTAGTAAAGAAAAAAAAGGTATGGCTAAATTCCGTTTAACAATTCTGAGTTCTTTCTGTTATTAGGTACTGAATAAATATCATTAGAAGTTGCTTTTATGTTTTTATGCTTTCAGATTTTCTACTTTGCCAATAGAAAACATCAACATTCATAACATGGCTTTTAGGAGCTTTGACTATGAGGACAACTTCTTTTATAACTTTTCTTCCATATTTTTTGAGTCTGGCTAAACTAGTGACTTCCTACTGATCTGTTTTGCTGATAGGGTATGTGCCTTATCGCTATGATTATATTTTTCTCACCTAATGCCCTCATTCATTTCCTTTTGAATCTCAAGTTTTTCACAACAAAGAACCTATTTTATTCTTACTTTTTTCTCATAATGGGATCCATGTATTGTTGATATGTCGTACTTTGAGTCCATTTTTTCTCTTGTATTTATTAAAGATGTTTAGAACTGGCAATCCTAACTTCTTTTCATTATAAAAAACTATTGACCTTCACAGTGGTGATATGATCTTAGTCACTCAGCAAAGGAACTTATTATTTTAATACAGTGGTATAGATATATTATAATAGATAACAATTTGAATTATTATTTCTGAAAACTTGAAAATAGCTCTTGGAAACCCAATACTGATAATCATATGGAAAATAAAGATTCTATTATGATCACTGGATTCTTGTGCCTAATATTTTAATTAAATATTAAGTTATTTAATCTTCTTAGGGAGATTTAAGGGCATACAATTTCATTATTTCTGTTTTACAGGTGAAAGGAAAGCACAGTGATATCAAGGAACTTGTTATATGCCAAATCTCTGATGGACATTGAGGTGAGGTTTGACTCTACTTAATGAGGTTTTGGACTCTGTACATTGATCACTGTGCTAACAGATCTCTCAATTTTAATTTTTGAATGTTTGCATCTGATAGAACGTGGTTTGTGTCTTGACTATCTCCAGTAAGAGTTAAAGCTGACTTCTTACCAAATGTATAACTCTTCACTGCCCAATCTATCCTGGAAGATTTTGTGATCTTCTCTCTGCAGACAGTTTCTACTCTTTTAGTTCTCATCTCATAATACCTTTCATTATTAATAATCTTTAATTCAGATTTTTGGAAAAATTATTCTAGGGAATTCAGGATAAGGAAGGATGCATGTGAGTAAAATGAGTACTTGGGTTATAGGAATGTTAGAAATTCTATACAAGTCAAGTTTATAGTTACAGAAGCTTAATATTTTATCATAAACCTCAGTAAGGTATAAATCCAAGTGAACAATGAATGGTAGTATCTCTCTATATCCCATCTTAAAGTGTTCTTTGACATTGAGTTGTGTCACCCCAAAATATGTGTTGTAAATCCTATCCTCCATGCCTGGTGTTATAATCACATTTAGAAACTGGTTGCTTCTTCTATGTTAATGAGACAGGATTAGTGTTGGGTATGTCTTGACTCAATCTGTTTTGAGATATAAAAGAGATTAAACAAGCTAGAAAACAGAGTTAGGGGTTGAGAAATGACAAGCCACATGAAGATCACCCAGAAGAACCTCAAAGAACCAAGAAATTTCCTCTGAGTTGGCAGAGAAAAGAAGCCTTTCCTTGGACCCTGCACCTTGATTTCAGACTTTTGGCCTCCTAAACTGTGAGACGATGGATTTTTTTTTTTTTTTTATGCCACATATCTGTTGTATTAGCTCTAGGTAGCTAAGACAAGCATTACCCAGAGATTTGTTACATCATGAACATTAGTGAAGTTGGAGGTACAGGTAAAAATAGATTCTTTGATCAGAATGTCCCAAATCCTAAAAGGCCAGGGATTACAGACACAACAATATGTTCACAGAACTGATAAAATGTTCTTCCCAGAGAGGGTTATCCAACAATATTAATGCTTAATTCTATTGGAATAGTGGTTTTCAGATTTCAGAGCACTAGAAAAGATTTGTAACACGTGAAAGATACATGCATGTTTATGTGTGAGTGTAAACGTTTTAAATTTTTTATTATAACTCAAAATGAGGTAGAGCAGTTATTAGGACTTTATGTTTCATTAGAAGGTTGAGTTTTAAAGCAGCTAAGTCACTTGTTCAAAAAAATAACAAGTTTTGCAGTTCCCAATCTTGATAAAATACAAATTTTGTGAAGAATTTTTTTTTTAACTTTATTCCCAAAATACAAAGGTGTTGGTCCAATCAGTCAGTTTCTGAATCAATAGATAAATCTGAGGGAGGGCTGAACATCTGCAGATTTACAAAGATTGATGGAAAATTTTGGTGCATAATAAAAACAGGTGGAGGTAACAGAACATGAACCAGAAACAATGAAAGCAAAGTTTAGCCTAGTGATCTTCCCAAAATGCCATTTCTTTTTCTTCACTATACAGAACAAATCTTTGTCATCTGCTTCCTACATACGGCTACTGATAAGGTGATGAATAACACTGTGACTGAATTCATTCTCTTTGGGTTGACTCAGGATGCAGATGAGCAGAAAGTAATATTTGGGATCTTCCTGATTCTTTACCTTTTGACTCTGCTGTGGAATCTTCTCATTGTGGTGACCATTAAGACAAGTGTGACCCTTGGGGGTCCCATGTACTTCTTCCTATCCTACCTGTCCTTTGCTGATGCCTGCTTTTCTACAACTACAGCCTCCAGACTCATTGTGGATGCTCTATCCCAAAAGAAGACTATTTCCTACAATGAGTGTATTATTCAGCTCTTTGCATTCCACTTATTTGGGTGCATGGAGATCTTTGTGCTCCTCATCATGGCTTTTGACCGTTATGTGGCCATTTGTAAGCCTTTGCAATACACAACCATCATGAACCGGCGTGTTTGTGTTGTGCTGGTGATTCTTGCCTGGATAGGATTTTGTATCCATTCTTTAGCACAGATTTTCCTGGCTTTGAAATTGCCCTTCTGTGGTCCCAATGTGATTGATCACTATTTTTGTGCCTTGCAGCCCTTGATGAAAATTGCCTGTATGGACACTTATATGATAAATTTGCTAGTTGTGTCCAATAGTGGGGCCATATGCACAGTGAGTTTTATAATCTTGCTTATGTCCTATGCTGTCATTCTATACTCTCTGAGAAACCACAGTGCAGAAGGAAGGCTAAAAGCTCTTTCCACTTGCACCTCCCACTTTCTTGTGGTTGTCATATTTTTTGGTCCATGTATACTCATATACACACGACCACAAACCACATTTCCAGTGGACAAGATTGTGGCTGTGTTTTATGCAATTGGGTCACCCTTGCTTAATCCTCTGATCTATACACTGAGGAATGCAAAAGTGAAAAATGCCATGAAAAAGCTGTGGTGTAAAAGAAATTATGACTTTGATTGATAAATAAAATAAGGAGAATTTAACTTTCACTTCCTTAACATCTAAATTTTTATTACATGGAAGACAAAAACATTCCTATCAGGGAATATATATATTGATAAATACATTTCAATATACATGTATATTGATTGATTATACTTACACATTTAATATTCTGAGAAGATGGCATTAGCATATTACCTAAAGCTTATAACAGTTTTGAAGAACCTATAATGATCCTTACTTGATTTCTGTCAACATGTGACCATCTTTAATTGCCAATTTAACTTCTTATAGAAATTTTTCTCTAGAAATAAATGTACTGTATGACAGGATGATTATGTGTCTGTGTGTGTGTGTTCAACAAAATGTTTTTCTAGAACTCATTCTAAAACCTTATGAATTTGGTCAACATGAAGTAGTCCATTAGAGACTGGAAATTTGCATATCCAAGATTGTGGTTTTGCCAATATGAGTTTGATACGATGACCCAAGATCATGATACCTTGGAAAGATTTCTGTACTTGATCCTACCTTACTGGATAGTCCTACATTGAAACCATGAAGTCAGGTGGTCTCTATTTCTGCTTACAGTTTTGTGGTCTCAGTTTCTGTGGTCACCTATGTGAAGAAACATGTACTAGTATCTAAGAATGGTACTCTGGAAGTGCCCTTCCAGCATGGTTTAATAAGTATATGTCACACATACATGCATACACCCACATACAAAGATATATACACAGATTTTAAGGTACTTGACTGGAACATTAAGTTATGACCCCGAATGGCATAAAATTCAAAAAGTGAGAGGGTCATATCAGCCAAATAGAGTAGGCAGATCCAAACACAGGTCCCTCCCTGAAACATGATGGAGTACAAGCACTGATGTGAGAGGCTGGCATACTTGTACTCCCATGGAGGAGTAAGGCATGGGGTTTTCTCTACAGGAAAGTCTCCAAGGTTTTTCTCACAAAGCACTCTTTTAACTTACACTCTGACCAGGTTTCATATCTTTCATCTTGTTGTAAGTCTTCTTATCTTTCTCATTGCCTTTGCTATTGGAAAAGATATATTTTGTAATCTCACTTCCATTATGTTTATCAAAAGTGTCAGTTTTAACACCTGTTATATTAGAAAATTTAAATTATAATTTGCATCATTGCTGGAGTTCCAAAAGAATCATTTTTCTTAGAAAGGGATTGCACATTATTTAGGTTTGAGAAATATTTGTTTGAATACCTGTCAAAGGTCTACTTTTAGGAAGCAAAGTTTGTATAATTAATCCTTATGTGTAAACAGGAATAACTACAAAATGAAGTGCGACCCTTATATCTGATGATGGATCTCCAATACTGAGGGGCAAGGACAGATTTCTGGGAAGGTTAAAGGGGAAAGGTAATCACCACAGGCACCGGGAATTCACCGGGGGGGCTGCAGGGAGTGGAGCCCTACAGGATAAGGGTTCAGAGTGATCACACGAAAAATTTTGTCTGTGCAATTTTTGTGCAGTATTTGAGCAGAACTTTACTGTATGCTATAAAAATATCATTAAGAAAATGAATATTTCTTCTTCTAAGCCCAGCTGAGAAGTAACAATATACCTGTAAAGCTAAAACTCTATGCTAATTTACTTTTTGAACTAATTCACTCCAGTCAGAGCTGTCATTATTACCCACCTACAATGACACTTTAAATTATGTATTTTCATCTGCATGCACACATGCTGTTGTTTTCATTGTCGCTAGTATTTATACAGTTGCTGATTATGTCTGATTTTCTGGTGTTTTAGCTACAATATAGGGGTAATCAGCATTTATGAACCTGTAGCGATGAATTTTGAGAATGAAGAAGTAAAAGAAAAAGAGAAAATTCAAAAAAAGGCTTCTGCTCAGTTACTAATAATGTAACTAATACTGTTTTACCTAAATATAGAAAGATTAAACAAATAACTCAAGGAAAGCAAACTCACTGCTGTTGACTCATTTCTGACTCATAGCGACCCTTCCTTGGGTTTTTGAGTGGGAATCTCTATGGAAGCAGATTGCCCAATCTTCCTTCCGAGGAGTGGCTGGTGGGCTTGAACCTAAGCCTTCTGGTTAGCAGTCAAATATTTTAGGCACTATGTCACCACAGCTCCGGATTATATGAATATTAACCACAAAATCATTTTCTTAGTATTCATGTATACTAAGTAGTGGGATTGCTAGGTCATATGGTCTTTCTATTTCCAACTTCTTAAGGAAATATTATATATATATAATATATAAATATATATATACATACATGTTCTCCTAAAGCAGCTAGTCGGCTGCTCATGGTAGAATTCGCCATGGAGTTGATTACCAGTCTCATTATACTGAATAACTACATCCAGGTGCTCAGCCACTGAAAACCAGGTCCAGCCACTTGTTAACTAACACTATAACAAAAAGATCCTGGTACTGTTACAACGATAGACACCTTAATCAATGGAAAAGAATTGAGAAGCCAGAAGTATAATATTTAGGTACATTATTCTAAAAAGGAAATCAAGAAAAATTACCATTTACAACAGCCAAACAGAAGATAAAATGCATAGGAATAAATATATCCAGAGACACCAAATATATATGCAAATAAAACTACAAAATTCTAATATAAGAAATCAAAAGAGACCTAGAACAATGGAAGAATAAACCACACTCATTGATAGGAATACTGACCATTGTAAAATGACAATATTATCCAAAGTAATCTACAGGTACAATGTGATCTTATTCCAGATTCCATTATCCTTCTTTAAGAAATGGAAAAACACTAACTTTAGATAGAAAGGAAGTGACCTCAAATAATCAAAGCTGTAATAAAGAAGAACAGCAAAATATGCCCTCTCACTCTCCCTAACATCAAGACCCACTATTCAGTCCCAATAGCTATTTTGTTTCTCTGTTGCCACTCCAACAGAAAATACTACCAATGTATCACTTTAACAAACAAGAGTTTATTCTCTTATAGTTAAGGAGGCTAGAAGTCTGGGTTCAAAGTGCCAGTTCTAGGGGCTGGGTGAAAACTCCTCAACCTTGGTCTTTAGCTCTGTCTCTTGCTCCCAGCCCATTAAAGCTGGAGGCTTTTCTTAAACACTTGCTGAGGCTGACAAAACCAAGGTCAAGAAGTAAAATGTCACAGTCCCAAAATTATCAAGGAACATGGCAGACCACTTGTTCCAGTCCAGAAACAGTTTCAAGACTGGCAGACAACACGGCAGGTGACTGAGATGAAGATTCAGCCAAATGCAGGATCCAGATGTGCCGCAAAGCTCAAGACCATTCCTACAGCTTCTCCTAAAGCAGCTACTCAGCTGCTCATGGCAGAGTTCACCGTGGAGTTGATTACTAGTCTCATCACATGGAATAACTACATCCAGGTGCCCAGCCACTCAAAACCAGGTCCCACCACTTGTTAACTATCACTGTAACAAAAACAGCCTGGTACTGATACAAAAACATTGATCAATGGAAAATAATTGAGAAGCCAGAAGTTAATCCATCTAATTATGAAGAGCTGATCTTTGATAGAGGGCCAAAGCTAATTGAATAAGGCAGTGATAGTCTCTTTAGCAAATGGTGCTGGCAAAATTAGATATTCGTATGCTAGGGTATGAAACGGGATCCATATTTCACACCATATACAAAAACTAAATCAAGATGGATTGAAGACCTCGATGTAAAACCTACAACCATAAAGATCATCAAAGAAAATAGTGTCAAACTTAGGAGTCCTAATACACATTTACATTTAATGACAATGTTTTAAGTCTGTGTCTTAAATATCCTGTTGTTGTTAGGGACTGTTGAGTTCATTGCAACTCATAGTGACCCTATGTGCAACAGAGTGAATGAAGCACTTTCTGGTCCTGCACCATCCTCACAATTGTTACCATAGTTGAGCCCATTGTTGCAGCCACCGTGTCAATCCATCTGGTTGAGGGTCTTCTCCTTTTTCCCTGACCTTCTACTTTACCCAATAGCATGGGTTGGATAGTGTCCCCCTAAACTTTGTGTCAAATTGGTTGGGCCATGATTCTCAGTGGTTTAGAAGTTATGTAATGATGCAATGTGGCAGATACATTGTAATGGTACCACATGACGTGAACTGATGTGATAAGCTGATCAAGTGTAAAAGGATTAAGATTAAGGGTAGGTTGCAACATCCTTAGTCCCATCACAGTGCTGATCTGATATAAGGGTAGTAACCCTGTGATAAATCCTGCAACACCTTTCATGTTACAAGAGATAAAGGGACAGAGAAAGGAGCAGAGACAGGACTTACTTTCAATAAAAAAGGAGCCAGGAGTGAAAAGTGTTCTTTGGACCCAGGGTCACTGTGCTAGGATCCTTTTAGGAACAAGAAACACACAGAGGGAAAGTCTTCCCCTAGAGCTAACACTCTGAACTCAGACTTCTAGCTGAGTGTTATAACAGAAATATCACAAGTGGCTGGCTTTACGCACAGAAATTTATTCTCTTACAGCCACTTGTGATATTTCTGTTATACAGAACTAGATAACTAGTAGAATTTAGTGCCAAGAGTGGTGTTCTGTTAAACAGATTTCTAAAATGTGGAAGCAGTTTTAGAATTGAGTATCAAGT